GGGGGGGGGGGGGGGGGTATGTAAGATATATTTCAAGACATTTAAATAATATATCTTTAAAAAATCTAATAAAAATGACTAAAGCACGTAGTGAAATTACGAAAACTTAAATTTAAATGAAAACTGAATATATTAATAGAAAAGCTAATTAAAAATATCTAAACATGCTATAAATAACACTGCTTCTCACGTGATAAAAGAATTGGTGCTCAAATCAGTATTTCATGTCCATGTATTTCTGTTTTTGGACAGCAGTGGTGTAATAAGCCGGAGAATGTGCAGGCGGTCGGTCTGCTGGAGCCTCAGGGCACTAATCATCCCGTCAGGGTGATGACCGGCTGACTGCACATCATCCGTTATTTGTTTCAAACATCTTTGTGATCACACAGACTTCAGAGGAGAGTGTTTGCAAAGAAGCTTTGATGCATCACTCAGTTCCTCATATGGTAATGATCACCGCGTGTAGTCCAGACTGCAGGCTTGTGTTTGTTTTTATGTTTAGTCTGGTCTGGACCGGAGCTTCTCAGCCAGTTTCGCTGCAGGACGACACAACACAGCACTGAAAGTGTTCAGCATACAGATTTATAATCATTCAAAACACTTGATGGCAGTTCATGTTTACTCTTACTGCATGTATTTAATGTAGTCTGGGTTCTCTTATGTGGATTTGCTGTTTGATGTTGACATTAGCGTTATTATCAGTAACTAAAACTAAAACCATAAAAAACATTCTTATTCTTGAAGTTAAAAAAACATGAACTGAAACTAAAAACTTAAATGATTTTATTTCCGTAAGTTGCAAGACATAATTTCTGATTTTTTGTTTCATTTAAGTTGAAGTACTAAAATAACTAAAGCTAAATATACTAAAACTGAAAACTAAAATGTAATAAAAACTATAGATTTTTTTAAAGAATTAATTAAAATGACAAAAACACAACAAATTACTAAAACTTTAAATAAACGAAAACCATAAAAAAAAACATTCTCATTACTTGAAGTTAAGAAAATGTGAACTGAAACAAAACAAAATATTAAAAAAATTAAATTAACTTCTTTTAAGTTGAAGTACTAAAATAATTACAAAAAAATAATTAAAATGACAAAAACACAACAAATTACTAAAACTTTAAATAAATGAAAATGAAAACAGAAAATATAAAAATTAGTTAAAATATTTAAAAAAAAATATATATATATAATAGTATATCAATGATACAAAAAAATACTACTTTTTATGTCATGTCAATTCAAGTTACATTAATTTTTTTAAGTCAATAGTGTCGTTATTCAGCTCAATTCAGTTCAGTGTTAATTCAGGTTATGGATTGCCAGGTAGGTGTACAGCTATAGCTTAATCACAAAGAAATACTGTAATTATATTCCATTACTCCTTTAATACATTTAATACACATCTACATTAACAATATAATGAAATTCGATATGAATAACCCACATTTCTGCCACTATATCATGCTGCAGTTAGTGTTACTAAAGTAAATCCATGGTAAATGATGGCGATTTGTAGATCGAAAAGCTTCTGACTGTATCGTTGCGCACAGTGGTTCTCCTGTTTGTCATCCGTCTCTAAACTAGTTTAAATCACTGAGCATGCATGCTTTTCAAAGGAATAGTTTGCCAAAAAAAATTTAATTCTATCATTTTCTAACCCTCAATTTGTTCCAAACCTGTATTAGTTTCTTTCTTCTGTTGAACACAAAAGAAGACATTTTGAAGAATGTTAGTAATCAAACAATTGACGGTAGACATTGACTATAGTATTTGGAAGTCAATGGGTACCGTCAACTGAGGGTGAGTAAATGATGACAGAATTTTTATTTTTGGGTGATATCCTTATAAAATAAGTAGCTTAAATAATCTTTTGTAGTAGTAGTAGTGGTTGTAGTTGGATAGCTAGGTATCTTAGTCAGGATAGACGGCTAATTTAATTTGGTGTAAGTAAAAACGAGTCTGTGAGTGACAGATTTACAGTCTCTTCAAAGGGTTGTGCTGTTGTGTAACATAGTGTTAATCAATTGATGAAACGCTGAAAATGCATATAAAAAATTATAATAATCAGAAAACACAAAAATGAGAGAAAATGACTGACTGTACATCTATCTGTCATAGCCTCATTTTCATTCACGTCACATTAAATATTGAGTCTACTATGACTAAGATCCATAACTAATAAAATAAGTTAGAACAGCAATGAATTGCTATTTCGCAAAGATATGTTAGCTTCATGTAAATATGATGAAATTAAAACTATTAATGTGTTTTTGTCTTTGTTTTGTCAAGTGGTCCTAAATGGGTTTTGTGGATATTTGTTTTTTAATTTCAAATTAGAATTTTGGTGTTTGATCTGTGTGAGGCAGTGCTGTTTTAATATTAATATTTGTGTTAATATTTTGAATGGGATTTTATATGATTTTTAATTTTTTAATTTTTAAAATTTTTTATTTTAGTTAAAGTTTTTGTAAGTCATTTTCACGTAACATTTTTTTTAACACTGTGTCAACACAGTTATGTTTCATTCCTCCTGACCACCAGAGGCAGTGCTTAACCACATTAGCCAGGTCAATAGGTCGAGATAGCATACCAAAAAAGTCACATAGTGCTCAGCCTCGAGTATAAAAGACACACTAGCTCAGCCTTCGGTCTCTTTCGCTTTCTCGATTGTCTGTGATAGGTCGTTCTTCAATCGTTTTCCGTGCTATCAAGCGCAACTTACTGGGGCAGCGAATTATCGTCGTTGCAAGCGCGCTATTAAGGAGTTTTTGGATCGGATTATCGACTTGATTTGGTGAGGTTTTCTTTGCTTTATTGGACATTTGTTGATATATCGATAATACTTAGTGCTTCTCTGTACTATCCGGTGGCTAGTGTTACCGATCGATTTACTGACGGTTCCCCGCAGAGTTTTTATTGTGTTCAGATTAGTGAATAGTGCTCCTCGGTGCTATAGCCTTTGACTTACATACAATTCTGTGAAACACTTTGTGCTCCTCGGTGCTATCCGCTGGCTAGTGTTTTTGTTTTTTATATCAACTATGCATTCCGTTAGTTTTGTGAATTTGTATGTTTCATCGGGCCGTGAAGAAATATAGAGCTGAGTATCATCAGCCTAACAGTGAAAGTTAACACCATGTTTCTTGATGATATCTCCCAAGGGTAAAATGTAAAGTGACCATGAGAACCAGATGAGTCCTCTGCACAATCTGACCTGTGTTGCAGCCTGGAATTAAACCACGCCATGCTGGTTTCGTCAGGAGTCCATGTCACCGATGGAGTTTCGGTTCCTTGCCACTGTCACCTTTGGCTTGCTTAGTTGGAGGATGACATCACTGGATCATCAATGAACTGACTTTAGCTGGAAAAATGAATCTTTGTTGTTGTCCTCTTGCATCATTGACAAACTATTTTCCAATTAGACACTGTTAAGCTGCTTTGACACAAACAGTATTGTATAAAGCGCTACACAAATAAAGGTGGCTTGACTTGACTAGTGTTTTCCTGTTTTGGTATATTGACCATCCCCCGCTATTTATCACTTTTATATACAAATTTCCTGAAAACTCTTCCCTTTCGGATGTTACATGCAGCCGACGTTCTTTGGTCAGTCAGAAAGGAAGATTGGTTTACAAGCATTGATTTGAAAGATGCTTGCTTTTAGGTTCCAATTGCTCCTCACCACAGGAAATTTCGCTGAATCATTTTCAAGAACCAGGCCTACCAATTCAAGGTCCTCCCATTCGGCCTGTCTCTGGCCCCTCGTGTCTTCACAAGGTGCATGACTGCAACTCTACATCCACTGTGGTCCAAAAGACTGCTTTTGGAGCATGTGCAGAGACTAGGTCTTGCAGTAAACAAGGCAAATAGTTGTCTGAACCCAGTGCAAACAATTACTTACATTGAAATGACACTGGACTCCCGTGTAATGTCTGCCACCCTCTCACATGCCCGAGTGGACAGTATTCTGCAGTTCCTTGCTTGTTTCCAGCTTGGTGCAAGCTTGCCATACAAGATGTTGTTACAACTCTTGTGGATGCTGACCACCGCCGCTTCTGTGATTCCGCTCGGCTTGCTCCACCTCAGGCCTCTCCAGCAGTGGAACAACAGTGTGCAGTGAACCCTGCCAGACATCTTCATCGGCTGATTGTTGTCTCGCACAGTTGTATCCAGGCATTGACACCGTGGAATCGTTGAGAGTTTCTGATGTCAGGTGTAATTCCTTCTCGTCAAGAGGTGGCCACAACCGATTCTTCCCTCTTCGGATGGGGGGCATCATGGAATCACAGGGGTGTTTGTGGCCATTGGTCTCCAGCTTGGTCCAGGGACCCCATCAATTCGGTCCGACAACACCTCGACAGTGTTTCACCTGAACCATCCAGGTGGAACAAAGTCCCTGCATCTCACCCACAAGATACTCTCTTGGTCTCTTCCTCGACTAGCATCATTGAGAGCAGTTCACCTCCCTGGATCGAGCAATCAGATAGCAGATGCTCTGTCAAGGGGGAATGGAGGCTTCATCAGGATGTGGTGCAGAAGATATGGGAGCAGTTCGGCAAAGCAGAAGTAGATCTTTTTGCGACAGTGACTGCTCGCCTCTGTTGCAAAAAGATCTACTTCTGCTATGAAGAGGCGAACAGTCACTTTTGCTTGTGGTTTGCAAGAACAGAGACATCCAGCCCATTGGGGCAGGTTGCACTGTCTCACGAGTGGCCAGACTATCTGCTTTATGCATTTCCTCCTCTTCCACTTCTGTGGGAAACATGGAATATCTCTGTGCAACCACAGAGTGTTACTTGTAGCACCTCGATGACCAGCCAGGCTTCGGCTTCCCATGCTTCTGTCGCTGTTGGTGGGCTTCTGCTTCGGAAGGATCTGTTGTCACAGATGGAAGGCGCTGTTTGGCATCCGGATCCAGCCCGTCCGCAGCTTTGGGTTTGGCCTCTGTCTCTTAACAGATTGTGAGCCCACTGTCTTTCAACATCATAACTTCTGCTAGAGCTGCATCCACACATCAGCTCTATGCAGCACAATGGAGGATTTTCTCGTCATGGTGGAGCGTGGGTTAGATCCTACACATTGTAACATTCCTGGAGTTCTTAGTATCTTGCAGCATCTTTTGGATTCAGGCTAAGCAGCCTCCACGCTGAAGGTATATGTTGCGGCCATTTCTGTGCATCATGTACCTGTTAATGGTTTGTCTCTTGGTTCTCATACTCTCATGTGCAGTTTTTTGAAAGGTGCGAAATGGTTAAGACTAGCAGGTAACCCCCATTTTCACTTATTTTTGATTTTGTCTGTCCATTTGAGCCTTTGCAGACAGCTGACCTGAAATGGATATCTTTAAAAGCTGCTTTTTTGTTGGCAATTGCTTTGCTAAGCATGTTAGTGAGTTACATGCAACGGCTCACCATTCATCTTCAGAGCACAGATCAGCTTTTTGTTTGTTATGGTGGTGCAAGGAAAGGCACCGTTTCAGGAGCAACCTTGAATTTTTTCAGGTGAGTGGCATTCCTCATGACTATGTTGGTAGGAGTCATCCACTAGTGCTTAAGCACCGCCTCTGGTGGTCAGGAGGAATGAAACAGAACGCTAGTTACGTATGTAACTGTGGTTCTATGAATTCTGGATGACCGCCAGAGTTATTTGTCACTTGGAATGCACGAGAAAAGCATACTGAGACCGAAGGTTGAGCTAGTGTGTCTATTATACTCCAGGCTCAGCCTATGTCACCATGTAACTTTTTTGTATCTCGACCATAGACTGTATAAAAACATGGACGCAGTGTCCGTGACGTCACCCGTAGGTTTCTGAAGAGCATTTTTGAAGCCTAAAGTGGGCGGAGTGGGCCATCGCCATCTTGGCAGCGCGTCACCGTGCATCACTCCTGAATAATCGAAAATGGGCAAAGAGGCGTAAAGTGGGTTGAGCTGGTTGCTGAAACCATGCCCGCCCAGCTCGACGGTGGTGACAGCAGCGGCAATTCACCTGTCACTCAAGTGGCCACGCCCTTAATTATGCAGAACTTTAAAGCTTAATATAATTGAAACAGATGAGTTATAAAAAAATTCACCCCCCCTCACAGTTGTCATGAAGGGCAAAATTAGCTATATAGACCAAAACCACTTTTTGTACCAGGCTGTAAACATATTTTTCTCTGCTGTGAAGTTGGGCATTTTAACATGGGGAGTCTATGGGATTGACTTATTTTTGGAGCCAGTCTCTAGCGGCCAGTTGATGAATTGCAGTTTAAGTCATTTCCGTGTTGGTTTCGAGAGAGAGACCGGAAGGTTGCCGCTTGATCTCGACCTAAGCTCTTTGGGTTTTCTGCCTCTTCCTGCACAGTATATGGATTAAACTTTTTGTTTTTGTTGTGTTATTATTGTACCTTTTTTATCTTTGTGCAAAATAAACTAAACTAAACTAAACTTTCGAGCCTCTGGCGGTCATCCGGAATTCACAGAACCACAGTTACATACATAACTAGCGTTTTCTGTAGTGTAGATTAAAACGAAATAACAGCCTTAAAATACAGCAGCACCAAAAAAAGAAACTTCAGTGGCATCATTCTTCTAGAGTGTAAATGAACTTTTGTAAATATTTTGAATTAGATTTGAATTTTAGATTTTATATTATATTTATATTCAAGTTTTTAAAATGTTGCTGTGTTTTTATCTTTTTTATTATGTTTTGTTTTTAAATATGTCTGTATAGTTTTTGTTGCTTTTTATTTATTACTTTTAGTTTGTTTAGTTTTTGTCATTTTAGTACTTCACATTAACCTAAATTAAATGACAAATGTTGCCTTGGCAACTAGATGAAATAAAATACAAGTTTTTACATTTTTACATAACATTTATTTTGTTTCTAAATAACATTTTATTTGGAAAAACCAGGTTAATAAATGTCAAGAGGTTTCTGTAGTGTAGATTAAAACGACATGTCAAATGTTAAAGTAGCGCTTGATAAAAACACAGCAGTGTTGAAATACATATTCACCTACGCCATTCTTCTAAGTGTGTAAATGTCATTATATTAGATGCTGCAGGATCTTTTCTCTTTAACTTCACTGCTCTTCGTGATTGTTGAAGTCTCAGTGTGTTTGAATCAGCTGCTGTTTTGGTGATTTTAATAGATGTAAAGAATCACATTATCCACAAACGAACACAAAACTTACTTTCTTCAACACTGTATCTGCTGTTTTAGGATTTCAAAGGAACAACAAACATCCTTTAAGCTTATAAATTGTGTTTGGGCATCTTCTTTTACAATAAAGGACTCTTGATTTAATATCTTGATCTTATGCAATGACATTCTAGGAATACTCTTGTTTTTGCGATTGTCCTGTGTTTGACTCTCACTCTCAGTCGTGCTCCTATCACTCAGTTGAAGTTGTGTGTGTTTAGGATTCGTGATCCTTGTGTGATGTTTAAAGACAGTCAGTAATACCTGTTTTGTGTTTCGCACGTCTGCTGTTGCTACGCCACGGCCTCTGTTGTGCTCATAACATCGCAGTGGGCGCATTGTACGGTGCTGAAACTGTAACCTTTTACCCCGAGGGCAAACATCACACTGCCGTCCCAAGCTTCAACCCTCATTCAGGGCCCAGATATAGACACATGCTTACAGTAACACTCATGCACTGAAGGTGTTTGGGAAACGGCCAGCACCTGAAGCCTGGTGTTGGTGTGGATCTCCTGCTGCAGTCACATGGAGTCAAGCAATAACTGGAAGGCCCTGATTCAGCAGTTCCTGTGTTAATAACAGCGGTTATGATTTGGAATGACGTGGTTTGGAAAAGGATCAGGGAAACCTGTTTTATAGCTGTCAAATCGCTGTTCCTTTTCAATAAACTTTCAGTGAAAGGAGGCGCTTCATCTTCAGAAGATGTACCTCAGGGGATGAAACTGAATGTTACGTGTTTTTATTATTATTTATTTTATATGAGCTTTTTTTTGCAACAATGTTATGAAAAGTTACCTGAATACAGATTCTGTATTCTATTATGTTTTTTAGCAATAAACAATTTATGTACCGTATATAAAGTTTAGGTTCTTGTTTGGGAGAAAATGTTGTTTTGTAGTTAGCTTATAATATATAGTATGTATATATGTGAATATTATATTATATGAATTATATAATTGAATATTTTATTTATACACACACATATATATATATATATGGTAATAATATATTATAAAATAATAAAAAAAGTGCAAAAAATATTTTCATATTTATCCGTACATTATATATGTATATATTGTATTATATTTACATATGTATAAAAATGTTTCATTAATTTCTGGCAATAAACACTCATTTGTACATTGCTTTGGATAAAAGCATCTGCTAAATGATTACATTTAAATGTATATATTATAACTGTGTATATATTCTAATAATATAACTGTATTTTTGATAAATATTTTCTCGTGTGTGTGTGTGTGTCTAAAAATATTTATCATTATATTATTTTATATGTTGTTTTATTATAATATATTATTTTATATTATATATGTAAAGAACAATAATAAACAATTAGATATTATAATAGTTTATTATCTATCTATCTATCTATCTATCTATATATATATATATAATTCAAATAAATTAATTTAGAGAGTGTGTGTGTATATATATATATATATATATATATATATATACTTTTTTTTTTTTTACAATTACTTTGCATTGAATGGTTGAGTGTGACAAATGCAAGCAACACTTTACTTGTCTTCCTGACATGCTGTACAAAAGGGTCAGGTTTTTGTTTATTTATAATACTTTATGGCAACATGTTTATGGTTGTTAGACGGCAAACATGTAGAGAAACCAGAACTATCCTGTGTGAACCATCTTCATGCAGCAGCGCTTTAATATCAGTCACAATATCATGGATTAATGTCATCTAGAACCCTGTGATTACAGCACTACTGTCAGACGCAGTCGCTTGACAACGCAACGCTTTTCCAGAGCAATGCAAAGCTGCATTCACCTGGAGGACATTTATCTGACGACAGATAAACGGCTCGGCTAGCAGCTTGTTTTCTTATGCAACCCTTCGCTGGCTAAATACATGTTTGACTTTTTTAGTTGTTGTTCTGTTTATGTAAAAAAATCCAATAAAACCTATGGCTGATGATCTGCAGTAATATTACTAGTATTAAATATGTGATCAAATGATGCTAGCTGTTATTGATGCTTTTACAGCATGCATTAAAAGACTGAATGCTTCATAAGCTTCTCATAATCTGCATCTTCTGCTTTTCACCTGCATGCCAAAGACTGTTGGTGATTTCAATAGCATGAACGTTTCATTAAAAAGAGCCTAGACTGGCTTTAGCTTCCGGAGCAGCTCAGCTAAACTAAAGCTCTAGCACTGCACATGTGTTGATCGAGTGTCGGTCTCTGTCTGTGTTGTGCTTTCTGTGGTGTTTGTGTGTCGTATGAACACTGTGTCCTGTTAAATATGGCTAATGGTTGTGTGGGATTGATCGGTAAAGCTGCTTGTGCGCTTCTACATGGAGGCTCTGCTGGAGAAAATCTGAACTAAGTTGCACATATAGAAAAAAAACTGAAAGCAAAAAAAGGTGTAGAAACAATTTTCAACAATCTTTGTCTTATTTACAACTTCATTTTTTAGTGTGTAGACGCTTGTGTCAAATTGCACCAATGCTAATATAATTTTTTAATTTTGATTAAACTACTTTTATTTATATTTTATGATGATGAATGAAATGTACACTACAATTCAAATTTGGGGACAGTAAAAAAAAAATTTTTTTTGAAGGAAATTAATACCTAGGATGCATTAAGTTGATCAAAAATATTTAAGCTTTGATCATACAAAAATAAATTACACTTAGAAAACAGCTTTTTTACATTGTAATAATATTTCACAATTTTACTGTATTTTTGATCAAATAAATGCAGCCTTGGTGAGCAGAAGAGACTGACCCAAACTTTTGAACAGTAGTGCATGGTTATAAGAAACTTTTTTGACAGAGCTTGTCACAATGCATTTTGGGATTGTGCTCTTGATGAGGAATACATGCAGCTATTTAAGACAGTAATAACTTTATATATCTGTTACTATTAGAATGTATATAAACTACCATTAAAAATTATTTTTAAAATGTAAATTTATTTTTAAAATGCAATTTTTAGGATGCATTCAATTGATCAAAAGTGACAGCAAAGGTGTTTATAATGTTACAAAACATTTCTATTTAAAATTGTTTTGAACTTTCTATTCATCAAAGCATTTTATAATCAGCATATTAGAATAATTTCTGAAGATCATGTGACGCTGAAGACTGGAGTAATGATGCTGGAAATACAGCTTTGATCACAGGAATAAATTACTTTTTAACATATATTTACATAGAAAACAGTTATTTTAAGTTGTAATAATATTTCACTGTTTCTACTGTATTTTAAATCCAATAAATGCAGCCATGGTGAGCAGAAGATAAATAAGATAAACTTTTCAATAGTAGGGTAATTTAACTGACAGCATTTGATTTGATCACAAATTAAAGGGGTGGTTGATTGCGATTTCACTTTTTTAACATTAGTTAGTGTGTGATGTTGCTGTTTGAGTATAAACAATATCTGCAAAATTACAAAGCTGAAAGATCAATGCAAACGGAGATATCGTCTTTTAAAATTTTAGTTTAATGCCTACAAAAACAGCTGGTAGGGACTACAACAAGTTACTTCCTGGGTTCGTGACATCACAAACCCAGATAAACCCCGCCCTCGGGAAAAGTCAGTAAAGGGGGTGTGGCCTGCGCTGCTTTAGAGAAGAGGAAGAGAAGACTAGAGGTGCACGTAAAAATCTATTCATATATGAATCGCGATTCTGTCTTCTAACGATTCTAATGGATTCACAAGTTTCAGAATCAATGATCTAAAGCAACTGCTCTGCACTCTCTCTCTCTCTCTCTTTCTCTCTCTCTCTCTCTCTCTCATTCAGCTCAGCTCCAGCAATGAACTGTTACGATTATACACTTATTTTCACATAGCTATGAGAAGCGTTATACATGGACGCGTGTGCAGTTGCCATACTGTATTAAAGCTTTAATCAGGATAAAACCGTATATTAAAAGTTAATATAAGCAGTAGCATTTACAAATGACAGCATATCTAAAAGTATGAGACAACAACAAACAAAAAACATACACCTACCATTAAAAGCCGTGCTTGCACAGGTTCTGCACGATCCTCTTCAATAATATCCTCTGCTTCTCAATCGAGCTCAAACTGATAAGCGATATTAACGACTCTTTGTTTACAATACAACCGGAGCACATGCCGCTGAGGAGAGAGTCGGGACACCTAGACGCACACTAGAGGCAGTTTAGCCAATGACAACACACTGGGCTAGCTAACCAATCAGAGCCCATCGCCTATTTCTGAGGGAGGGGCTTCATAAAAGAAGGAAATGATCAGCATGTTTCTCAGAGAAGGGACAGAGCGGTGTGGAATAAAGGTAAATTATGTGAAAAATAATGCGTTTTTTAAAAAACGAAGCATTAACACATGTTAGACTGCACCCCATAAACACAATCAAGCCTAGAAAAAAAACACTGAACCACCCGTTTAATGCTAAATACAACTAATAAAATCATTCGAAAACATAGTAATACACAACTGATGTAAATATTTCACTACAAATAAGCTACACAGAAAGTTCTGTGCAGGAACGAATAAGTGAGTCATTATGTAGTCAAAGTGAACGGATTCGCTAAAGTGAATCTACCCAGCATTACAGGACACTCTGATTGATGAAACTGACCAGTAGTTTGCTGATTGTGTTGCATGTTTCAGGCTGGGAATGGAGCATGACGGTCAGGGGAACCGCTGCTCGGACGAGACCAGTATGGGCAGCATCATGGCTCCGCTGGTCCAGGCCGCGTTTCACCGCTACCACTGGTCCCGCTGCAGCAAACAGGAGCTCAACCGATACATCCAGTAAGATGCTGTTCTTTACATCTGCACTGATCGTACAGTATCCATCGCAGAAGAGGATTTGGGATCTTAAGCACGAGTAGTGACTGAAAATTAGGAACATAATCTCTCCAGAGAGAAAGAAATGACATTAATGCCTTTAAATCTGACGCTCTGAACATTTACAAACCCTCATGTTGTTCCTTTTGTGTTCAACAGAAGAAAGTCTCTTAAATCTCTTATATAACCACTAATATTTAATCTCTTAATTGAACAATAGCCATTGATATTTTCATTTCTTAATTGAACAATAGCCATTGATATTTAGATTTTTAATTGAATAATACGAATTAAGTTTAATCTCTTAATTGAATAATAGCATTGATTTTAAATTTTTTAATTGAACGTTAGTCATTCATATTTTAATCTCTTAATTGAATAATAGCATTGATCGTTTAATTTTTAATTGAATAATAGCCATTGATATTTACATTTTTAATTGAATAATAGCATTGATATTTTAATCTCTTAATTGAATAATAGCATTGATTTTTAAATTTTTTAATTGAACATTAGCAATTGATATTTTAATTTCTTAATTGAATAATATCCATTGATATTTTAATCTCTTAAAGGACAATTCACCCAAAAATTTAAATTCAGTCATTATTTACTCACCCTGGTGTTGTTTTAATGCCGTATACCTTTATTTCTTTTTCGGACCACAAAATGAGAAATTGTAAAAAATAAAAATAAAAATAAAAATGCCATGTTCGTCCCTGTCCATATAATGGCAGAGAATGGCAACCAGTCTCAAACTTCAAACTAGGGTATGACAACATAAACCAGAAAGGTAATTTATTATTTAGGCAAACTATTGACATAGGCAGCCACTCATGTGTACAAAAACTCGCTTTGTTATCATGACAACCGGAAATAGAAAAGAAAGTAATGCAGGATGAGTGTGAATCAGGACAGCATTTGTCTTTTTTGAATAAAGTGCAATGCATTGATAAACCTTCCCCCAAACCGCGGTATTTTTTTCAGCTCGTACGACTGTCTTCTGGATGATCCCTTCGAGCTGAAATGGCCCAAACTCACAGAGCTTCCTGGAATAAATTACTCCATGGATGAGCAGTGCCGCTTTGATTTCGGTGTGGGGTATAAGATGTGCACTGCCGTAAGTCTCTATATTTAGTTCTGATCTTGTGAATATAAACTCAAGTGCATACAGCTTATGATGAGATGGACAACATTAGATTGGATAGTTTGCATCTGCAGAGCTAAATCAAGAGAAACTTATTGCATTTTGATTAAATATCTTTTCTCATCCTCTAGTTCCGTACGTATGACCCGTGTAAGCAGCTGTGGTGCAGCCATCCTGACAATCAGTACTTCTGTAAGACCAAGAAGGGCCCGCCGGTCGACGGGACGGAGTGTGCACCAGGAAAGGTGAGACTGTGGTGATTCTTGTCAACGTGACCAAACAATTGAATGAAATGGGTATATCACATTTCTCACAAAACCTTTATAATAAGCTTGTATATTCAGTTGGCTCAAGAACAAACTGACCTCTCTTTGGAGAAATCAGCATTTGGAAAATGTCAAACTCACATCAGACATTTTGCAACCAGCTATTTGCTCTTGGAACAAAACTGACCATTATCTAAATCCCTTAATTACTTTATTACTCAGGCGTGTTTGCTAGCATCAGACTTTCATCTGTGACTAGTGATCATATATTCATTTTCAAATTACCTAATGTTGCTTACAACAAAACAAACTAATATTTAATCTCTCACTTGAACAATAACTACTAATATTTAATCTTTTAATTGATCAATAGCCTTTGATATTTTAATCTCATAATTATACAATAGCTATTGATATTTAAATCTCTTAATTGAACAATAGCCTCTTAATTGAACAATAGCATTGATATTTTCATCTCATAATTGAACAATAGCATTGATATTTTCATCTCATAATTGAACAATAGCCATTGATATTTTAATTACATAATTGAACAATATCCATTGATATTTTAATCTCTTGACAGAACTATAGCCATTTATATTTTAACCTCATAATTGAACAATAGCATTGATATTTTAATCTCATAATTGAACAATATCCATTGATGTTTTAACCACATAATTGAACAATAGCATAAATATTTTGATCTCTTAAGTAAACAAAAGCCATTGATATTTTAACCTCATAATTGAACAATAGCCTCTTAATTGAACAATAGCATTGAACAGTAGCCATTGATATTTTAATCTCATAATTGAACAATTGCATTGATATTTTAATCTCATAATTGAACAATAGCCTCTTAATTGAACAATAGCATTAATATTTTAACCTCATAATTTAATAGCCATTGATATTTTAATCTCTTAATTGAACTATATCCTCTTAATTGAATACTAGCCATTGATATTTTAATCTCATAATTGAACCATAGCATCGATATTTTAATCTCTTAAGTAAACAAAAGCCATTGATATTTTAACCACATAATTGAACAATAGCCATTGATATTTTAATCTCATAATTGAACTATAGCCATTGATATTTTAACATCATAAATGAACAATAGCCATTGATATTTTAATCTCATAATTGAACAATAGCCTCTTGATTGAACAATAGCCATTGATATTTTTAAACTCTTATATGCCAACTAATATGGTCATATGTTTAGGACACAGTGTTCAGGTATAGTAATGGTTGTGTGTTAGTGATGCTTGTGTGTGTTTGTGTTGCAGTGGTGTTTTAAGGGCCACTGTATCTGGAGGTCATCCCATCAGCCCTACGGTCACGACGGAGGCTGGAGTTCCTGGGGGAAGTTCGGCTCGTGCTCTCGTACCTGCGGAGGAGGCGTTCGGTCCCGCAGCCGCCAGTGCAACAACCCTGTGTGCGTTACAAACCTGCTTACACCAGCTCATGAATCAATGAAACCGCTCTGTTATTCATTTCTTCTTTGTCTCTGCAGTCCTGCGTACGGAGGTCGTGATTGTACTGGTACAACGTTCGATTATCAGGTGTGTAACATAGAGGACTGTCCCGGCCCATATGAGGACTTCAGAGCGCAGCAGTGCGTCCAGCGCAGCAACAAATACCACAATAACATCAAACACACATGGCTGCCATACGAACACCCTGATGGTGAGAGAAACGCTGCTTAATCCATTTTCACTTTATATATTACTATATTCATATATATAGTGTTTATATTAATATTATTCATCCTGGAATCGATTTTCTGGAACAGGGATTCCCAAACATTTTTGTCAGCCAAATATCTTGAAATAATTAATAAGTTAATATTTAGATTTTTTAATTATACATTTGCATGTTCACAGTGATCTGATGTCGGTTAGTGGTCACATGATGTGCATGTAAGCAGATAAAATATTAAAATAGTATAAGATAAAATTATAATAATAAAATTATTTAATTATTTCCTTTAATATTAGTATGTACGTTAACACAGGACTGATTGTATGATCTTCAAAGGAGAGATGTTGACGTCTCGTGGCTGTTTGTGTATTTCAGAGGCTCATAAGTGCGAGTTGAGCTGCCGCTCTAAAGAGACGGGTGAAGTCGTCTTCATGAACCAGGTGATGCATGATGGGACGCGCTGCAGTTACACGGATCCGTTCAGCGTCTGCGCTCGAGGAGAGTGTCTGGTGAGAATCATATCATGTGCATGAACACAATACTGATGTCTGATTCATTCACTAAAGCTGGTGCATTTGAATGATTCTGTCAAATCGTGACATCTGATTAAGACACTAAATATAACCAATATAACTTAAAAATACAATATATAATTGATCTAATAAATCAATGACATAAGTAGTATATTAAAATATCTGAAATATATAAAATAAAATGACAGAGGGTTTGGGGTTGGTAAGATATTTTAATGTTTTTTAAAGAAATTTCGTCTGCTCCGCAAGGCTGCATTTATTTGATCAGAAATACAGTAAAAATTGTGAAATATTATTACAATTTAAAGCAGCTGTTTTCTATGTGAATATCTGTTAAACTGTAATGTATTTCTGTGATGCGCAGCTGTATTTTCAGCAGTCTTCAGTGTCACATGATCTTCAGAAATCAGTATAATATGCTGATCTGCTGCTCGAGAAACATTTCTGATTATTATCAATGTTGAAGTAAAAAAAAAAAAATATATATATATATATACATGCAGTTTCCACATACAAACGTACTTGAACAATAGTAGACTAGTTAAACAAATAACCAAAGAACAAGTTAAGTGCTGTGCATGGACTTCTAGGAATCGTAAATTTTTAGGAATATCTTCTAGGATTATTTGATGACTCCAATTAGTCTGTAAATACTAATTTAATTTAATTTAATTTAATTTAATTTAATTTAATTTAATTTTTGCATTTAGCAGACGCTTTTATCCAAAGCGACTTACAGTGCATTCAGGCTATACATTTTTTATTTTTTATTTTATTATTATTTATTTATGTGGTAAAATGTTTTATTTTTATGAAAATAACTTAATTAGCCGCGAAATAGGCTTCATTTGCTTTATGCAAAATATAATTTATGATTTTTTGATGAAATATAAGCAGGACTTTTTCGTCACGAGGTTTGTCTATTGGATTGTTTTTTGCCGAACATGTAAAACGCCTCGGGCCAAAAATAAAGATCAGCTCTGTATCTCTGAATCTCTACAGCATCTCTGTGTTTCGCATTTTCATAAGTGGATGAATCTCTCTCTCTCACTTTAAAATCAGAATAATGAGTTTTTTTGTTACGGTTTTGAGAATTTGTGTGGTAAAATGTGTTTTATTATTATGGAAATAACTTCATTAGTGCTAAACTAGGCCTAAATATGAATATTTCTGTATGAAATCTGAGTGAAATATTGGGCTGTTTCTTGACAAGCGTAATCACTTGAGCTCTCGCTCTGTTCGTTAGGTTTGCTGAAGATGTTTGATATTCCTGCTGGCGCTCGGCACATTGTGATCGAGGAGAATGAAACGTCGCCTCATGTAATTGGTGAGTTTGTACCTGTACATCACTGCATTTCTCCAGCGGCACAAACCCAGGGCAGTCATGCATCCTATTGAGACCAATTACTGCCTTCCCATCATGCTTTGTGTGCCATTTTAGATTCCCCAACATCTCCCCGCTTGGCTTAAGCAGTTTTTCTGATGGTTTTGTGTTTCTTTTATTATTTATTTTATTTTGAATCCCTGAGCTCATGTTCAGCTCCTGCTGAGAGCCTGATTTACTGTCAGAGAAAATATGAAGTGTTTTAATGTGAAGTACAAGGAATTTTATTTTATGTAGCACATGGGTTGTGTTCAGAGTAGCATACTACACTTACTATTTGTGCACTTTATTGAACATAGACTTTATAGTATGGTATATAGCAGTGTTGTTGACCAAAACCAAAATTATTAAAAACATTTTCATTATTTTATTAATACATTTCATTAATGCACTGTAGTGTGAAAAGTGCTTTTTAAATAAATAAATTAAATTAAATTAAACTGAAATAATAAAGTATAAATATTAGATGAATAAAAACTGAATAAAAATGAGAAATATTGCCATGACAATTTACTGAAATAAAATAAGTTTAAATTGAAGTGCTAAATTACTATTACTGATATAAAAATGAATTAAAACCAAATATAATTATTTATTAAAACCTAATAAAAATGGGGGGAAAACATTAGACGTCAGTAAAACTTGAACTAAAATTAAAACTGAAAATAGAAATAAAAATATGTAAAAAAATTAATAGTATAAGAGAACATTAGATCATAAAGATATTTTACACAAAATTGAATTAAACATTTAAAACAGCAGATAAATATAAGTTATAATGTAACCATACAGTTGTATCATTGGATAATGCCTGCTGTTAAAAAAAAAGTATATAATGCACAATATTGTAAAATTACTTAAATAAAAATTAATTAAAACTAGAAATATTTCAAAAATAAAAATGAAAAAACTAAAACTAAAATGAAAACTGAAATGTAAAAACCAAATTCAATATATTAATTCAAACTGTAATAGTATTATGAAATTTTACAATGTAAGATGTTTTACACAAAATTGAATTAAACATTTTAAAATAGAAGATAAATATGTTATATTGTAGCACACTTTAGTTTGAATATCACTGTATAACGCCTGCAGTTAAAAACTAGTATATACTGCACGATATTATACTTTCTTTAGCCTTTCTTTTCTTTACAAACAGAGTTAAAATGATAATAAACAAAAAGCCACAGATGCTCTCGATAGAGTTTAAGTTGTACTGAACCCATAATATTCCTCTAAAGATGCTTCTCTCCCTTCTGTCCATGCTTGTGTTCCTCAGCCGTTAAAAATCAGGTCACGGGCAGTTTCATCCTGAACGCCAAGGGAGAAGAAATCCCGTCCAAGACTTTCATTGAGAACGGCCTGGAGTGGGAATATTCACTGGCAAACGGCAAAGAGTCGCTGAAGAGCGTCGGGCCGCTGCACGAAGGCATCGTGGTGCTGGTAAGAGCGGCGTAGCGCTGCTGCCGTTGGGTTGAGTTTATGCAGCGGGCGTTGAGTTTGAGTTTGTCGTTCTGGACAGGTCGTCCCGCAGGCCGAGGACACCAAGATCAGTCTGAGCTACAAATACATCATTCATGAAGATCTTCTGCCGGTCATCACCAACAACAACGTGCTGCTGGCCGAACTGGACACGTACGAGTGGGCGCTGAAGAGCTGGTCGCAGTGCTCCAAACCCTGCGGCGGAGGTGTGCCATTGAACACACTCTGAGAATTATTACACTACAGGTCAAACGTTTGGAGTAAGATTTGGAAAAATATTTTTTTTCAAGTTTTTGAAAGAAGTTTCTTATGTTCACTTATTTTTTGATAAAAAAAAATACAGTAATATATTGTGAAATATTGCTGTTTAAAATAACTGTTTTCTATTTAAACATATTTTAAAATGTAATTTAATCCTGTGATGCAAAGCTGTTTTTCAATTGTGAGAAAAAATCTGCACTTACCTTTTTTATCTTTTATTCCATGCTGGAAAAAGAAACAGAATTGTGAGATGTAAACTCAGATTTCTGAAAAAAAAAAAAGTCTGAATTGCAAGATGTAAACTTGAAAGTCTGAATTGTGAGATTAAATGTCACGCTTACCTTTTTTTTTTCGCAATTCAGACTTTTTTCTTGCAATTGTGAGATTACATCTCAAAATTCTGATTTTTTTTGGCAATTGCTTGTTTACACCTCGCACTTCAGACTTATAAACTCATTGCAAAATATAAACTCAGAAATCTGAGGAAAAATGTTGCAAGAAAAAGTCAGAATTGCAAGAAAGTCAGAATTGCGAGGTGTAAACTTGCAATTGCAAGTAAAATCCGAATGTAATCTCACAGTTGCGAGGAAAAAAGTCTGAGTTGTGAGATGTAAACTCGCAATTGTAAGAAAAAAGTCTGAATTGCGTGAAAAAAGTCTGAACTTCGAGATGTAAACTCGCAATTACAAGAAAAAGTCTGAACTTCGAGATGTAAACTCGCAATTACAAGAAAAAGTCTGAACTTCGAGATGTAAACTCGCAATTACAAGAAAAAGTCTGAACTTCGAGATGTAAACTCGCAATTACAAGAAAAAGTCTGAACTTCGAGATGTAAACTCGCAATTACAAGAAAAAGTCTGAATTTCGAGATGTAAACTCGCAATTACGAGAGAAATCTGAACTTTGAGATGTAAACTCGCAATTGTAAGAAAAAAGTCTGAGTTGTGAGATGTAAACTCGCAATTGTACGAAAAAAGTCTGAATTGCGTGAAAAAAGTCTGAACTTCGAGATGTAAACTCGCAATTACGAGAAAACTCTGAACTTTGAGATGTAAACTCGCAATTACAAGAAAAAGTCTGAACTTCGAGATGTAAACTCGCAAATGTAAGAAAAAAGTCTGAATTGCGTGAAAAAATTCTGAACTTCGAGATGTAAACTCGCAATTACGAGAAAAAGTCTGAACTTCGAGATGTAAACTCGCAATTACAAGAAAAAGTCTGAACTTCGAGATGTAAACTCGCAATTACGAGAAAAAGTCTGAACTTCGAGATGTAAACTCGCAATTACGAGAAAAATCTGAACTTCGAGATGTAAACTCGCAATTACAAGAAAAATCTGAACTTCGAGATGTAAACTCGCAAATGTAAGAAAAAAGTCTGAATTGCATGAAAAAAGGCTGAACTTCGAGATGTAAACTCGCAATTACGAGAAAAATCTGAACTTCGAGATGAAAATTTGCAATTGTAAGAAAAAAAATCTAAATTGCAAGAAAAAGTCAGAATTGCGAGATGTAAACTTGCAATTACACGAAAAAAGTCTGAACTTTGAGATGTAAACTTGCAAGAAAAATGTCTGAATTGCGGGGGGAAAAAGCACAAATGCCAAAAAAGTCAGAATTGTGAGATAAAAAGTTGCAATTACTATTTTTAGTCTGTGGCAGAAACAAGCTTCCATAATTATTACTGTGTTTTTGATCAAATAAATGCATACTTTTTTCAACAACATCAAAAAATCGTAATCATTCCGAAGGTTTGACCTGTAGTGTATAAATGCATATGTTAAACGGTGTAAGTGCTAATGCACGTGTTCCTCAGGTGTCCAGTACACTAAATACGGCTGTCGGAGGAAGAGCGACGGGCGTTTGGTTCACAGGAACTTCTGCGAGATCAGTAAAAAGCCCAAACCCATCCGTAAACGCTGCAACACCAACAGCTGCAGCCAGCCCACGTGAGTCCCGCACGAGCACGAGAGTCACCTGAGACCTGAATGAAGCCTAACCGAAGCGTTTGTGTGTACAGGTGGGTGCTGGAGGAGTGGGGGCCGTGCAGTAAGTCCTGCGGGAAGCTGGGATATCAGTCTCGCGTGGTCCAGTGCATGCAGCCGCTCCACAACGGCACCAACAGACCCGTTCACACCAAATACTGTAGCGAGGAGCGTCCGGAGACCCGCAGAGCCTGTAACAGCAGTGCTTGCCCATCTCAGTGGAGGACTGGAGCCTGGTCACAGGTCAGGATTTATTAGCAGACGTATCATACAATCAAAGGATTATTGATTAAGTCATTTTGTGATTTGGTGCCTAAAACCCCCTTAATTGAGGGGAAAATCACTTTTATTATTAAACAGCAGTAACAGCAATTTAGTAAAAGGCAACAATAAATAGTTGCATTTAATAATAAAAAAATAATTTTTTTTAAAGAAAAAATTCAGTGTGAACATATACATTTTTACATTAATATAGAATATGCATCACAGGTGTTTATAAGTAAAACAATATGAAATATTATTATTTTTATTCTCCACATTTATCTGTGAGTTTGAGTTTTGCCTGTGTGTATTCATTTCTCAAAATGTTTAATTTCTAGTATTTTTATTTATTAAGACAAATATGATATGAATACACATACAAATACACTACTGCTTTAATTGAACTAATTTGCATTTTGGATTTAGAATTGAAAAGTTTCATTTATAAATATAATAATTTTGTAATACATTTTAATAAATTAAATTAAATTATTAAAAATAAATAATTTAAATTGTTAAAGGTTAAATAACTAAATTTGTGGTTCTAAATGCAAAGATAATTTTAAAGTGGTAATATTTGTTATTATCAGTCAGTATATAATAAGTTAGTATTATTAATTATTGAAATGTTTCATTTCTAGTATTGTTATTATATTTAAATAAGACAAATATTAAATAAATACACATATGAAAACAATACTGATTTAAATTAATTTGTGTTTAAGATTTAAATAAAAAAGTTTAATTTATAAATGTAATAATTTTGTAACACATTTTAATCAATTAAATTCTAATTATTTTAATTGTTAAATAAAGGTTAATTAACTAAAAGTTTGTGGTTCTAAATGCAAAGATAATTTTAAAGTGGTAATGTTTGTTATTATCAGTCCACATTTACCTGCTAGTTAGTAATAATTCATAGAAATGTTTCATTTTTAATTGAATTTATAATTTTGTGATTATTTTTAAGACATATATTAAATAAATACACATACAAATACACTACTGATTTAAATTAAATAATTTGCATTTAAGATGTATAATTGAAAATTGTATCTAAAAATGTAATAATTTTTTAATATATATTAATAAATTAAATTCTAATTATTTTAATTGTTATATAACCAAAGGTTCGTGGTTCTAAATTTTTAAGTGGTAATATTTGTTATTATCAGTCCACATTTACCCATGAGTTTGACATTTATTACCCGCTAGTTAGTATTAATTACTAGAAGTGTTTCATTTTTAGCTTAATTACTAGAATTGTCATTATTTCGAAGTAAGACAAATAAATACACGTACAAATACACTACTGATTTAAATTTAATAATTAGCATTTAAGGTTTATAATTTAAAAGTTTAATTCATAAATGTAATCATTTTGTAATACATTTTAATCGTTTAAATTCTCCTCACGCGCGCCGCTGAACAATCTGAAGATGTTTGTGCTTCCTGTCTGGATGTGATGTGTTTCCTGTAGTGTTCGGTGAGCTGCGGTGAAGGGATCCGGCAGCGGCAGGTCGTCTGCTCCGGACAGTGTGACGCAAACAAACCCGAATCCGTGTCCGTCTGCAAGCTTCCTCCCTGCACAGGTGAAACAAACACTGACTGTCAGCACAAACACGAGATCATATGAGACGCTGATGAGACTTCAGGAGAGTGAAGCCTTTCTGTCAGCAGCTTTAAAGGGTTAGTTCACCCAAAAATGAAACTTCTGTCATTAATTACTCACCCTCGTGTTGTTCCAAACCCGTAAGACCTTCGTTCATCTTCGGAACACAATTTAAGATATTTTTGATGGAATCTGAGAGCTCTCTGACCCTCCCATAGACAGCAAGGTAACTACCACGTTCAAGGTCCAGAAAAGTACCAAGATGATCGACAAAACTGGTACTAATCGTGACGTAAGCAGACATTGATTGGCCAAACGCGTACGGAAATGCCATCACCCGCCATGATTTAAAACACCGTGTAAACATACGTTGTGTCAACTTATTTCGTAAGTATGGAGAACAGCAATAAATGCTTAAAATGCAGGCACTTGTAGCAAATGTAGCACTGCCAGTTGTCGTTGGAGATTCTTAGTCCTCCTTTCCGTTCTTTCAATCGCTTTACGTATACGTCGACTTTCCATGTCCATTATTGTGAAACCCGCGAGACACAACAAACACACAGCTCCGATCACAGCGTCCTCCATCCTCCTGTTGTTAATGTTGTTCTTCTTTGTTTCCGTTGTTGAACGCCGCACACAAATGACGTCGCTATCGACCGGTACTACACAGTCGGTGCGAATGCAAACCTTTAAATGGTACTGGGAAATAGCTTGTGCAAAATTGTCCCAGTACTTTAGTACTGTACATTTAGTTCTGGAACTAAAGCGGTGCGAAAGGCCCCAAAGTAGTCCGTGTGACATCAGTGGTTCAACTGTAAAGTTATGAAGCTACGAGAATACTTTTTTGCGCAAAGAAAACAAAAATAACGACTTTATTCCACATTTTCGTCTCTACTGCGTCACTTTGGCGGCGCCGACCCAGATCCGGCGTGATGACGTCGCGTCCAAAGTGACGCAGTAGAGACGAAAATATGAAATATAGTCGTTATTTTTGTTTTCTTTGCACAAAAAAGTATTCTCGTAGCTTCATAACTTTACAGTTGAAACACTGATGTCACACGGACTACTTTGTCGATCATCATGGTACTTTTCTGGACCTTGAACGTGGTAGTTACCTTGCTGTCTATGGGAGAGTCAGAGAGCCCTCAGATTCCATCAAAAATATCGTAAGTTGTGTTCCGAAGATGAACGAAGGTCTTACGGGTTTGGAACAACACGAGGGTGCGTAATTAATGACAGAATTTTCATTTTTGGGTGAGCTAACCCTTTAAGAGGCATTAGTGTTTCCAAACTAGTCTATCTGACACTGTTGTGACTTCCTGTCTGACAGGAAATGTGTCTTTGTGTTGTTGTTTTTCCCTCAGGAGAGCCGTCTTTACCCAGTCCCACTAAAGATTTACTGGAGAATTTCACCACTGAGGAGGAGAAACAACCGGAAAACGCTCTGGATAAAGTCTCTAGTAAGTGACTCGTCAATACAGACGCTGATGGATTATTGATCCACTACTGTGTTCATTCACTGCATTTATTTGACCAGAAATACGGTAAAAATTCTGAAATATTATTACAATGTAAAGCAGCTGTGTTCTATGTGAATATACTGTAAAATGTCATTTATTCCTGTGACGTAAACCTGAATTTTCAGTGTCACATGATCTTCAGAAATCAGTATAATATGCTGATCTGCTGCTCGAGAAACATTTCTGATTATTATCAATGTTGAAAACAGTCGTGCTGCACAATATTTTTGTGGAAACTGTGATGCATTTTATTTTTCAGGATTCACAGATGAACAGAAAGCTCAAAAGAACAGCATTTATTTGAAATAGAAATATTTTCTAACATTTTAAATGTCTTTACTCTCACTTTTGATAAATGTAATGTGTCCTTGATTAATAAAAGTATTCATTTCTGTATTAAGTATTAATAACTGGAGGGTAGTATATTGTCATATATTCATGTTTTTTACATTGCATGCCAAACAATACTTATGATTAAACTTAAATCAGTAATTGCAGTTCATTTAATTTGTGTATTTTAGTAAAAAAAAACAGTACTAGAAATTAAACTAAAATTAAACCTTTCTAGAAATTAATACTATAAAATATACTATTAGAAATTAAAACAGAAAAAAATTTAAACTATTATTATATTAAAATTGATGTATTCATTTAATTAATTATTAAATTTTTATTTTGTTATTACAAATTAGTTATTGTATATTTTAATTAATGAATACTCACCTCAATATAATAATGATATATTCATATATGTAATTTATACAATTTATTTTATTGTATTTTTATTATTTCTGTTTATTGTATTAATTTGATAAAATATTATATTTTATTTTATTAAATTAAAAATTATTTTATCAATGTTACTAATTACTGTATACTTTAATACTAAACTAAATATATTAATATATGCAATTTATTACATTTATTTGTATAATTCCTGTTATTTGTATTAATTTGATTATATTTATTAAAAATACATATTTTATTTATTATCGTTCCCGTCTCTCCTCCAGATGAGCCGTGTCTGGGTGATAAGTCCATCTTCTGTCAGATGGAGGTTCTGGCGCGCTACTGCTCCATCCCGGGTTATCAGAAGCTCTGCTGCGAGTCCTGTAACAGGAGGATGGCTTTCAGTACTCTTTCTCCAGACGTTCATCCTCCCTTCACTTGGCTTCCGGATTTTACCTTCCCTCAACTACTTCAAACGAATCCCGACCCGACACAGCAGATGCACACTCAGACGTCTGTATCTCCATCTACAGCGGCTCCGCTCAGCCACACCACTATAGCAGCTACCAAGAGACTGCGACCCACTTCCACAAGCCCTGTAAGCGAGGACGAGAGCACGTCCCATCCAGAGTCCATCACCTCACTTCTACCTCCAGACGGACTCCAGAACCAGAGCACCACTGTGGACTCGCCGGTCACATGATCACTAGCCAATCAGACAGCAGCTACTGGTTACCTCAGAACGAACCGACGTCACCCACAATCCTCTGCTCCGTGTGTTGAACCTGGAGAAAACCATGAAAGGTGCTGTTCTTGAAAAGCAGTGGCTCAATCCGTGTTGTTTTGTGTCTTTAGGACTACTAGACGCGCGCGTCTTCACTCTTTAGCGTGTGTGTTTGTGGCTGTAGCACGTCGTTATCCGCTCATATAGTTTAATAGCAGTGTTATTTTTGTGTGTATATATATATATATATATATATATATACACACAGTATATATATATAACATACATCTTTTTATTTTCAGTTTTCATCTTAGTAATTTATTATGTGCTTTTCAAATTTTTTATGTTTTATTAAACAAATTATTTTTTAGATTTTATGTATATATATATATAATATATAATAGTGTTTTACTATACTATTATAATGTATTCTATAATAGTATAGTAATCTATTGTGTGCATAGCCATTAATGTATTTCATGTATATTTTCATATTTTTATGAAGCTGAACTACACAAAACTACTGAAGTGTTACAAAGCAAGTGTAGCAGTGGTTCTCGCCGCCTCCTGGTGCTCCTGATGTTCAGCAAATGTGTCGTCACTCACCTGTGAAACAACAGCAACCACCTCTAACGCATCGCCTGCAGTTTGTGGGTTTGATTTTGTGTGTTTTTGAGCTTGCATCTGCTTTTAAACCGTCGTGATGTTTTCGGCTGGTTTTGTATATATTGTAAATAGTTGCAGGTTTTCAGAAGGTGCGAGAGCGTCGGGTCTGCCGTCTCTCATGTGGTTTAACCTAATTTCTGTATTGTATAGTACTTGTATATACATGAATGAGAGCTTTAAGTGTTAATATTTATTAAATGTTTAAGTTGTAGGATGATGAAATACATGAAAGTATACACATTGAAAAGAAAAGGGGAGTTTTTATTTCAGTTTTTTTTGATGATTTGCACGTTCAAAATAGATTCTCAAGAAACATCAGGTTTAACCAGCTTGGATCATTTTTAATGGAGCTTAAGAAAAGCTTAAGAAAATATTTTATTTGCAGTGTCTAGTATGATATGAAACACAAAACTGATATCTAAGATTAATATTTCTCTCATTTTCCATCAGCAAACAATATGACTAATATGGAAGCCATTCAATAAATAAAAAAGGTAATTACAACTTTTTATCTCATAACTCATTCTCGCAATTCAGTTTATATCTTACAATTCATACTTTTTAAAAAAATATGAACTCAATTGCAAGATATAAACTCAGAATTGTGAGACAAAAAGTTGCAATTACCTTTTTATTTATTTTTCTGTGGCAGAAGCTGCTTTCCATATAGACTAAAGACAAAATGTTCATTTGCAGTGCATTGTCTGATTTGTGCATCTTCATAAAACAAATATTAATGAAATCATGATGCATTTTTAAAATAGAGTATCCAGCCATATACTATTAAATCCATGTGTTTTAATGCAGCAGCAGATCTGAACCTGTTTTGACATCAAGATGGTACAAAGGTACAAAGTTGTCAAAATGAAACATTTTTCATTGAGCTTTCATTCGATTTGTTACACATTTGTTTGAGAAAGTCAAAATGATTACTTAGCAAATTTGTAATTATTTTTAACAGTATTTAAAAATTATTTTTTTAAATATATATATTATATAGTTCATCCAAAACCGCTGCGATACTTGACAGATTTATGAAAAATAGCAGCAGTGATAATTGTTTTAAATAATTTTTATATTATTTTTAATGCTTATATTTTAATAAAATCATTCTTATTAAATTATTTGTAATTTTTTTAATAAAATTGTTTTTAAATATATATATTTTTAAATTATAGTTCATCCAAAAATGCTACATGATACTTGACAAATTTATGAAAAACAATCTTATTAAAAAAAGCAGCAGGCATTATTTATAAATTACGTTTCTAATAGTATTTTAATAAAACCATTTTAATAAAAATATTTTTTTAAATGTATAGTGTATCTAAAAATGCTGCATGACACTTGACAGATTTATGAAAAACTATTTTGTGAAAATTGCTTTTCTTGCATTCAACATACTTTTAGAGTTTGATCGACACGAAGGTATAGATAATGACAGATCTTTCTGTTTCTGAGTGAACGATTCATTTAAGTTGCACTAAAAAATAAAGTGCTATGACCCTGGAGTATGTTATAGGTTCAGAGCTCATTCTATTGTGGCTCTGAGGCATGTCTAAAGTCTTTTCAGCCGATTTAATGGAGTCATTGTGCTCCGCTGATGTTCTCCAGTCGTTCTGGTGATTTTCAGAGACTATTAGAGATTAAAGTTCACTCTTGAGATTGCCTCTTTAGAGTCTCTTTAAATGTCATTTGTCCTTTTGAAGTGTTGAATCCGCAGTGAATCGTGCGGAGGTTGTGAGACGATCTCCATCTGCATGCTGTCACTGCGAGTGCAGACATACGAGTCTGAATGATAACAAGACGCCTGGATGATTCCCAAGTGAAGGCCAAAGGAACAGTTCACCGAAAAATCATTTGGTCATTATTCACCCTCATGTTTTCCCAAACCCGTATGCTGCTATTTTTCCTGTTTCCATCACTGCAGTGCAGTGGGTGAATTATATATACATAATTACTGTAAAGCAGGATTATCATAGTTAACTAAAACTAAAATCAGAAAGAAAAAAAGCATATTTGTTACTTGAAATAAAATAAACTTATTTCAGCTATTTGCCGAGGCAGCATTTCTCATTTTCATTGTTTAGCTCAATGTACTAAAATAACTAAAAATGAAAAAACAAAAATGTAAACAAAGTATATAGACAAAAAATAAAAAATAAAAAAAATACTATTTTATATATATATATATATAGTCGCAATTAAGACTTCAGCTTCCGAATCTTCTATACTTATCTTGCTGGATCTGTCCGCTGCTTTTGATATGGTGAACCACCAGATTCTCCTGTCAACCCTATTGGAAAAGGGCATCTCAGGAACCGCACGCCAGTGGTTTGAGTCTTACCTCTCAGATAGGTCCTTCAAGGTATCTTGGAGAGGTGAGGCGTCCAAGTCGCAACATCTAGCTACTGGGGTGCCTCAGGGCTCAGTTCTTGGACCACTTCTCTTCTCTGTCTACATGGCTTCACTAGGTTCTGTCATTCAGAAACATGGCTTTTCATATCACTGCTATGCTGATGACACTCAACTCTACCTCTCATTCCATCCTGATGATCCGACGATAGCTGCTCGCATCTCAGCTTGTCTAACAAACATTTCTTGTTGGATGACGGACCATCACCTTCAACTCAACCCGGCTAAGACAGATATACCTTGCTACACTGAGTTAGGCTAACCGAGTCATTTGCACTTATATATTGTTGCTCTTTTGTTAGTTTTGACTGCTTTTATTGTCCTCATTTGTAAGTCGCTTTGGATAAAAGCGTCTGCTAAATGAATAAATGTAAATGTAATTAATTGTTTTTTTATTCCATGGCAGAAACAAAAACAGAATTGCGAGATGTAAATTTGCAAGATGAATTTTGAGAATAAAATCCGAATTGTGTTTATATTTATCATTTTCATTTAGTTTAACTTGCACTAAAATAAACTAAAACAAATTAATACAAACTATAGATATATTTAATAAAAACCATAAAAATGACAAAAAACTGAACTGACAGACTAATACTTTAACCAAAATTTAATTGAAAACAGAAATAAAAAAAAATACAAATATAAAAAATTAAAAAATATAAATAAAATGATACTAAAATAACACTCCTGTGAAAGATATTTTTTATTGTCATTTTATATAGTCAACTCATTTTCATAGTAGTTGATTTGCTACTTTGCTATCTTCCACATGACTTTCATCCTGTTCGTCTGAGGTGTATGTTGCATGGCTGTGTTCCTATAGTGTTGACGTCTGACAGAAGCGTCTCTCATCAGCTCTTGTTTTCTGGGTGTTGTGTGGCCAGCCGGCGCCGCAGGTGTTTAGTGAAGTCCACTTGTGCTTGAGGAAGAGCCTTGTTCACTAGTGACTGAGGCAGCCAACCCTGAACACACAAGGACACGTTCATCACGCGACTGCAGAAATGCATCACAGGGAATCTTCTGCACTGCAAAACTTGCTAGTACATTTCACAATGAAATACAATTCTGAAGCAAAAAGACTGAAATAGTATTTTCAGGTCAAATGTTTTATGTACAACTTTGAAAATCATTTTTTACAGTGTATAACTAACTAACTAACCCTATTCATCTGCTGGTCACCTCACAATCAGGAAAATCTTGATAAATCATAAAACATGCATGTTTTGTACCCTGATGTCCATGTTGAGCAGCCAGATGAAGCGACTTCGGTCGGGACGGTCCTGAAGCGGCTGCAGGATGATGCAGGTCGGTCCATCTTCAGCTCTGAACACAACAAACACCAAACACACACTTACAGACAGGCTTTACCGTGAGAAACTACTTTCAGATTATGTCCAGTTCAGAGGTGTAAAGAGTAGCTGAAAACCATACTAGAGTAAAAGTACAGATACCTTACAGTGAAAATTACTCCACAAGTTTCCAATTACAAAACAACTCGAGTAAAACTCTTTTAGAGTATCTGATTTTAACAGAACTTCAGTAGTTTACTCATACTGAATATAGGCTCAAAGATGTATGAGCCAAAGAGACATGCCAGTGAAAAACAAGAAAGAGTTGATGTGTGAGAAGAGCAATCACGTTTATTTTCTAAAACCAAAATAAAACTGAACACCTCAAAATAAAACAAAATGTCGCTTCGGTATAACAGATAAATAAAATAATGTTAAGTAATTTTTTTTGTTTCGCTTAATTTGTTTATTGAACTTTTACAATAATAACACACTCTCAGAAAAAAAGGTACAGAAGTTGTCACTGTGGCGTATCTTTTCAAAAGGCACACCTTTGTACCTAAAGACTCCATATTGGTACCTTAAAGGTATATATTAGTACCTAAAATGTACAAAAGTGTACCTTTTGAAAAGGTACCGCCCCAGTGACAGCTTTTGTACCTTTTTTTCTGAGAGTGCAGGATAAGAATAGGAGAATAGTGAAAAAATAATGTTAAGTAAAATTAAAAAGTCAAGGTCTTCTTGCACTGGATGAGCTGGTTTTGGCCTCATTGCTAAGGAACTTGCATTCACGTAAAGCAGCATTGTTGACAAGTTTGGGTGAGTAAGGGCAAAACGCACGAGATATA